GAGGAATGCTTGAGGCCATATATTGACTTTAAAAGTCTACAAATTTTGTGTTCTTGATCTTCTCTAATAAAACCTATTGGTTGTTCCATATAGATTTCTTCTTATAATTCTCCATTGAGAAATGCAATCTTTACATCCATTTGATGCAATTCAAGATCCATGTTAGCAACTATAGCTAAAATGAGTTGGATTGAGGTAAACCACACAACAAGCAAAAACGTTTCTTCATAATCTATTCCTTCTTGTTGTGTATAACCCTTCGCGACTAAGCGAGCTTTGTATCTTTCAATACTACCATTAGTTTTACGTGTGATTTTGAGAACCTATTTGTTCCCATTGGCTTTGCATCCTTTCGGTAAATCAACCAATTCCCATTCTTGGTTTGATTTCATAGACTCCATTTCTTCTTCCATTGCTTTCATCCGTTTTTCCTTAAAAGGGCATTTGAGAGCCTCATTTACATTCCTTAGCACTTTTTCATCTTGTGGAGTAACTAAAAAAAATTCCCCCTTCAATCTCAAATCGTCGATGTAGAACTTGTTTCTTGTTTAATCGACGTATTGGAGAGTGATTTGTGTTACTCCCACTTGGACTATCTATCATAGTCGAATCATCGATGGGGAATGATGGAGGATCTGAAACTGATTTATCTACTTCCATATTACTCCCACTAGGATGTAGTTTTCGACAGCAGAATTGCCTTGGTCTTGTGTTTCATATAGAAACAAGTCTTGACCTATCTTGCCTTTCCTAGGAAAATCAGTTTCTAAGAATGTGACATCTCGTGATTCAAACTCATGATGCTACCACTTTGTTGTTCTCCTCTAATTAAGACGTGTCCCTTTGAATGTTCTAAGTGTCTTATGATGATACATTTCTTCCCCTCTGGACCTAATTTTTCATATTTATGGGAAGGGTCATGAACGTAGGCAGCACATCCCCATGGTTTTAAGAGATCCAAATCGGGTTTTGATTTGTTCATAACCCATATGGTGTAGTAGTAACAGATTTGGAGGGTACTCGGTTGAGCACGTATGTGGTAGTCAATAAGGCATCACCCCAAAAGGTGATGGGCAAATTTGCCTATGCCATCATAAACCTCACCATCTCAAGTAGGGTTCTATTTCTTCTTTCTGCAACATTGTTCTGTTGCGAAGTTCTTGGAATAGTTAATTGACATTCTATTCCCATTTCATCACAAAAATTTATGAACTAATCAGACAGATGTTCACAACCTCGATCGGTTCATAGAAATTTTATCTTTTTATCTAATTGATTCTCAACTAAGTTTCTAAACTTCTTCAAGCATTATAAAGCTTCAAATTTATGAGAGATTAAAAGGACACAACCGTATCGGGTGAAATCAACTATAAATGTGATGAAATAAATAGCCCCATGTCTACCACTCACATTCATTGGACCACATATGTTAGAATGAATTACTTGCAATGAAACTTCATCTCATATTGCTTTTCCAAATGGTTTTCCTGTTGTTTTTCTAGCTAGACAATGTTCACAAGTAGACAAGTCTACTTTTGTTAAGGTTCCTAACAAGCTTCTCTTGCTAGTATATTCATTCGTTGTTGACCACTATGGCCAAGCCGTGCATGCCATACATTCATATCATCATTATTGGAAGATGTAATGAAGGAAAAATAAGCATTACTATAATTGTAATCAATGTCAAGTACAATAAAACCATTAGAAATATAACCACAACCATAGTATTTTGTGTCCAAAAATAAATGGACACAAGTACTGGAAAAGTTTAAATTAAAACCTAATTTAATAAGTTCTAACACATAAATCAAATTTCGATGAATATGAGTGCATATAATATTAGTGTATGCCCTAGGAACCAATCGTGTTGTCAATTTCAGGGCATTATATATTGTAAATATTCTTTTAAGAATGGAAGCAAGAGTTCTGATTTGACATGTTGTTTACTACTTCATTTATACTATTTATAATGCATGTGAAATGTGTGGATGATATAGATCCTTAGAAGATCAAATCATCGAAGCATTCCCTGCGTAAGTAATGTTAATTGCACAATAACATTGCATAGTAGGCATATTGAATGCCTCCATTGAATATCATGTGATGGTATTAGTGTGGGTGATTAAAAGAGGTATATCACTAGGGCATTAGTGTCGCATATTTTTGACAAATAATGCAAATGTAACAAGTGCACTAGTCGCAAAAAGTAATAAAATGATAAGTAGAGTATCGTTACCACAAGGATAGCGTTACGAAGTACCAATATCTCTAGTTTAAGTCCTAAGTGAAGCAACAATAAATTGGATTGATGGAAAATTAACAAACTAAATACAAATTAACAAAATATAAATGAATGATAATGAAATTAAAGCAAAACCCAATAACTTAACTAATTAAACAATGCTAAACAAGGCTAGGGTGTTGATTTCACCTAAATACGCTAACCCAAATCATAGATCTATTACCCAAGTTCTAATTCCTTGATTGAAAATCGAATTCCCTAAGTTATAAAACATACCTTCTCAAGCAATATCAATTTTCCCATACCGCTGCCATGCTATCGCCACAAAGTTCTGAACCATGTGAAAGGGAAGTCTTTTCTCAAGGAAATAGCCCACCAAACAATCTTTCCATTTGTGAACACACAAATCAGCAACTCTTTTGGAGCAGGGACTCGGATTTTTGAATCGTTGGGAATCTTGGAGTGCTTAAAGAATTCCATGGGAGCCGAAGATTTAGTTGAAGTATAAAGGTTTTTCCAAGAGTTGCCTTTGAAACTCTCTCCAGTATCAGATTTCTTCCCACCATATAAGACACCATTAGAGGTAGCTAAAGTTGAATAAGAGCTAACCACATTAACCGAATCACCTCCATTGACAGCACCTTGGTAAACAACAACCCTTTTACCAAGTAAAGGAGCTCCAATTGAGCTCGCTGGAGCTTTCTCTCTTCCAAACTGGGAGTTCAAAAGCTCACCGGAACCAGCTCCTTTGATAGATTTTGTTTAGCACTTTCATTAAAAGCAGACGAGGGAGCTTCATTCAAACTCGAAGAGTTATTAATTTTTAGGAGACTTGAGCTTGCACCATTAGAACCATCACCTTTGACAACACTAAAGTTAGCAACACCAGCTCCACCCTTCCTATTTCCTCATTTCTTATCTGATTCAGGAGCTAAAGGAGCAAAAATAAAAGCAGATTGAGCAAAACTTTTGATGGAACCTTCAGGTGCTTTACTAACCACAAGCAAGGATTGATTATTGCCAGCCATAGAAAGGGAAAAGAACAAGAGTGAGAGGAAGAAGAAGGGGAGATAAATGGCAGTAATCAAAGGGAAAGAGAAAGAAACGATGAACAAGAAAAAGAAAGGCGGCAACTAGGTTGAGAAATCGAAGATGTGAGGAAGATTACACTGTTCACTATAGCGCACTGTTCACTGTAGCGTTGCTATGCGCTTGAGAGCATTTTTCTCTCACATTTTTGGGACTACCCTGAGCTATTATACTCTCAATAGTTGTTCCAAGGCAAAGCAGTGAACTTAAAATATTTGTATCTATAACACACATTATGTGTTCCTGTCATTAAGTACTTGGAGATAAATTATTCAAGCAAACAAACCTTAGCTATAACTAAGTAAAAACATTCTTCATTACTTTCTTGCTCTTAAAAATTAAAACGAATAAAATCTGCCAACTACATGCACACCATCTTTTTCAAAATAATCTCTTGTAAAAATCATAGTGATGCAGTAATGAACAGTGATGAATAGTGTCGACGATGTCAGAATGCGACAATTTTTATTATAGCACTTCGAAATGGTCAAATAAGTTAGGCTCATGGTAGACACGATTTCTGTTGTTTTTTAGCCTTTCGGAATCGTTTAGATGGGTTTATAGCCGTTTTTTATGCTTTTTAGGTGTGTGTTTGCAAACTTTTGGACTTTTTTGGATTTATTTGGCTTTTTAAATGTTTTTGGGACCTTTTCAATAATTGTTTAATTTTCTTTTTCTTAGTTTTTTGGATTAGGGTAAACTATATAAATGCTATTATAGTTGTAATAGGGCAGTTTTTGATGAGTAATTTTATTATATGAAGTGATGAGATATGAGATATGCCTGAAAGGAGAAAATCAACGCATGAGAAGAAGTCTCCAGCTTGGATCAAGGATTATAATTAGCAAACTCCCACATATGTTTAGGCTTATGATTAGATTTATTTATATTATGAGTGTTAATTGTGTTTTCAATAAGTTTTGAATATGGTGCAAATGACAGATAAATATTGAGTCTGAAACAGTTTGAAGGGCAAGATAAAAAAATCAATCAAATTCTCTTCCCAATTCTCTAATTCTTTTCAGACATATTGTTCCCTCATATATAGTAGGTCTATTAAATCCATTTTGGTCCCATGAGATCTACATAACAGTGTTGGTGGTGGAGGTGACAACGACCACATTTGGCTACAGTAGCCCAAACACTATCAAAAGAAGCTTTTAAATTTTAAAACCTATAAAAACTTATTTTTAATTTTTGTAGGTTTTAGATTTTTAAATTTTAAAACCTTAATCATGCTTAATTCCAAAGTTTTTCACAAAATGTGTTGGCGAAAAGGGATGCAGATGCAACACTAACAAATAGCAGGAGTTGTTCAATCTTTGTCAAAGCGTCGTCATTTTGTCCTTGTATCAATTAAGATCCGTTTCTGTTAAAAGTAGTTGAGCTGAGGTCTGAATATTGCATAAAAAGAAGAAAGACTCTCGTGTATTCATTCTGTTGCATTCAATTACAATAAAGAAATCTAGAATCTCTTTCGATTGGCTTTGTACTCTTACCTGTTTCTTGAACTTTCTTTCGCTTTCCCACAAAATGTAATTAAACTAAATTCATAGTGGAACTGACTTGATAATAATATTTAAAAATCAGATGAATTTGACACAGTTATTCAATCAGATACGTTCCAATGGCAACACCCAAACATCTTTGCATGTAGTACCAAAATATCACAAACTAGGACTACTAATTTACTCTAAGCTTAGTATAATCTTTATGTTGCTGTTAGGTTGGTAACTAAACAAAGGAAAAGCAAGGTCCAGATAACCCCAAATATAAGTTTTTATTATAATACAACACATCAACGTAAAAGCTTGTAAATTCAATAAATGAAAATTATAAACTAAATACATAACACTTATAGAATAGACTTATAGAATACAATATAATAGCCAAAGCCTAGAAATATTTTTTTTATTTGAATATTATTATCAATCTGATAATATCAATATCCTTTTGCAGATGCTAATAAGGAGGAGGTGTCTTCTCAGTCAGGTATTTTCCAACTGTTTCTGCAAGTGTTTCCACTAGTTCGGTATTTACTACAGAAGTAAGATTTGCTAACTTATCATCAAGCTCATACTCTATTTTTGATATTATAATACTTGATGTAGAATTTTTCTCAATAATTTTATATTGAGTTATATAACGACTAAAGCCCAGTGCTATAAATCCTGCTTCAATGGTTTCTGTTTCTTTCACACGCTTCTTATTATCAACCTTTGTAATCATTTCCTTCATATAACCAACTCCAGGAGTTCCTGAAACAAAAACCAAACAAAATATTTAATATTCAGTAGTTCAAATAAATGCTTGATAAATAATATGAATTAATTTACCTGGTGGAAATGTAACGTTTAGAAGTGTGCCAACATGTCCATCACCGTCAAGCACTTTTACAGTTCCAAGCACATTTGGCAGAAATGTATTTATAATTGTGAGGACTTGAAGGGTGCCGTAGACATCCCACACCGAGCAAGCCGATGCAGCCACCACCGTATTCGCTGCAACAAGCCCGTGCATTTTGATGTTATGAATTTGGTTTTTTGTTGAGTTGGTTCATTATTGTGGTAGGTATTTATAATGGTTTATTCGAAGACAAAGTCAATAGATCTAGATTAGAAAGGGCCAACGTTGTTTATAAACTACCATTTTAAATATTATCAATTAGTAAGGTAATATCTAGGAGTTGCCAAGAATTTTCTTCACCCAGGCTGGACTTTTTGTTTGTTTTAAGGATAAAATACTTGCCTTATCAAGGACTTTTTCTATAAGCAGGGGATGAACCGGCATATGGCAGACCCGGGTTAAAGACTTAGTCAATCTTTTTTTTAATTTTTTTTTTTTAAAATTGTTATATTAGATTGTCTTTATATTGATCCTAACTTCAGTAGAGCCATCTGAAGAGGTGTTTTGAAAAAAACAATATAAAAAGAGAGATGTTGTATTTCAGCCCGACTAACTTTATTTCTAGGCCCCATTTGTCAAAATTTTAAATTAAAAAATTTTGATTCTTAAAATTGCAAGCATAAAACGACGCTTGATAAAATTCTTATAAGTTTTCACTAAAATGTTGTATTTATATATTTTTAGGATTGCGTTCTGTTAAAGCAGCTAAAGGAGCAAGAACTTAGCTAAACGATCAAGAAAAAAAGCAAAAATGAGTTTTGATTCTGTTTCAGAATGAAACGAAATTCTGTTATTTTACTTAACCAAAATTGGTGAAGTTACAGATGAGTGTTTATATTAAACTAACACTACTGAAACGTCATCGTTTCTGATGACTTACAAAGGTGCTTTACAAACGCCACCCTCATATTTTATAAGCTTCCACTTTGGTCCTGTTTTCTTCTTTAAGCAATACAATCAACACTCTCCCTCAATTCCAACATATAGAGCTTTGTTAAGTGGATTAGCTAACACGTTCATCCATCTTTAAAGAAAACTGAATTAAAAAAGTTGTTTTAAGCAAGGAGGCATTTATAAAGTTAAAAGCCCCCTTATTTATTAATGCAAATTTCGCAATTGCCATATTAAAAGAAAAGAAAAAAAAAACAATTTATTTTACATACATGTTTATCTATTATATTATATTCCTACCACTCTTTCACCACTTTTCAAGGTCCTGATTCTGATCCTTTAGTCAGCCCCTACACTACAAATTCTTCTAGTTTTCCATGTGTTATTGTTCATAATCCCTGTCCTCCAGCTGATTCTGCTCCTGCTCCAATAATTGGCTCTCAATCTCAGTCCTCTTTCCCTAATACAACAATCAACCCTCTACTTCACTACCTCAATCTCATACACATCCTACTCTTGCAGCCACAAATACTTCCTCACCAACCTTACAATCCTTCAAGACTTCATCACAAAGTGCCTCACCAGAGTCACCAACTAGCTCATCAACCTTACACACCATTTTACCAGATTTCCATGCCACCTATTCTTCTCCATCAGACCTGCCACCAAACTCATCAGACCTACACGTTAACTCATTAGACTTACGTGCCATCTCACCAGCCTTACACACTGTAGATTTCTCTCCTAATTTCACCTCACTAGTTAGTTCCCAGTCAGTATCTAATCTACCCATTATCCCTTCCACTTGTTCCTTACCCAACTACACACTTGAAGTTGATCTGTATCCATCAAAGTTCACAAATGTTCCGCCTAGGTCTGTTATCAACAATCACCCAATGATCACAAGAGCCAAGTTAGTTGCTAGTTTCTCTGCCAAAAGGGATGATGACCTGGTTCATACTGCCTATCTTACACAAGGTTAGCCTATTATGGAACCAGAACCAATGACAATTGTTGAAGCTCTAACTAGCACCACATGAAGAGAAGCCATGAAAGCAGAATTTGATGCTCTTGTTCACAACAACACCTGGACCCTTGTGCCTCCTACAGCAGATATGAATATTATAGGAAATAAGTGGGTCTTTTGCATTGAATTTCATGCAGATGGCACCCTAGAAAAATATAAGGCTCTCCTCGTGGCTAAGGGCTTCCAACAAACACCTGAACTAAACTATTTTAAAACATTCAGTCCAGTCATTAAACCCTCTACCATCAGAATCATTCTTACCATTGCTATTTCAAATTCTTGGGATGTGCAACAGACTGTTGTGAATAATGCATTTCTGAATGACACTTTGAATGAGACAGTTTCCATGAAGCAACCTATGGGGTTTGCGTTTGCTACTCATCCTTCCTTTGTGTGTAAACTGAATAAAGCCTTGTATGATCTTAAACAGACTCCTAAAGCCTGGTTTGACAAGCTTAAAAATGCTCTTCAAGCCAAGGGATTCAGAAATTCAATCTCTGATTCTAGCCTCTTTAGTCTCAAATTGGATATTAGCCTAATCTATGTTTTGGTCTATGTGGATGATATACTTCTCACAGGGTCAAATTCAGCCTATATTACTCATTTGGTTAAAGAGTTGAATGATCAATTTGCACTCAAAGCCTTAGGCTCTCTTAAGTACTTCTTAGGAGTGGAAGCAACTAGATCCTCTACAGGTATTCATCTCAAACAGTCTAAATACGCATTAGATTTGCTTATTAAAACCAAAATGTTTGAAGCAAATCCTTGCCCCATGCCCATGGCTGTTGGTACAAAGCTTAGCCGTGATGACAATGAACTGTTTGAAAATCCCAGCCTTTATAGAGGTGCCATAGGTGCATTGCAATATCTCATTCTTACTTGACCTAATACTAGCTTCACTATCAATAAACTTAGTCAGTTCTTATAAGCTCCTACTGAAATGCATTGGCAGGCTTGCAAACGAGTACTCAGATACATAAAAGGTACTCTAAAATTTGGTTTGCAATTCAAACCAGAAAGCTTCTTACATGTAAAGTGTTATGCTGATGCTGATTAGGGAAGCGATGTTGAAGATAAATGATCTACAAGTGGATATTGTGTTTATTTGGGTCCTAACTTGATCCAGTGGAGTTCCAAAAAATAAAAAGTAGTAGCCTTGTCTTAAACTAAGGCTGAATGTAGAGCTTTGCCACAAACTACTATAGAAATTGCTTGGTTACAAAATATGTTCACTGAGTTGGGAATAAGTCAACCCCGGTTATTTGGTGTGACAATGTTTGTGTAGGTGCATTGGTTTCTCCAACCCCGTTTTTCATGCCCAAACTAAACATATAGAAATAGATGCTTACTACATCCGAGAGCAAGTTTTGGCTAAAAACCTTGTTGTTCAATATGTGCCCTCAAAACTTCAAATTGCTAACCAAACCCCTGTCTACTGCTCTATTTTCTAAATTGCGACAAAAGCTGAATGTTATTGCTCTCACTGACTCTACCGATTAGAGAGATCTTCTGTCTTCATTTCAGCAGATTGGTTGCTGTGTTTAGTCTTGTCATAAGCTACAGAATTTATGTGTATAAATGCGTCCAGTTTTCTCTCGTTTTAAGCTTTGCAGAATTTTTCAGGAAGTGCTTCACTGCTCTGCTATGCAGTCATGTTGAGTACTACATTGCAAAGGTGACTTAATCTGAGCTGCAGAAAGGATATCTTGACTGAGCAGTGCAGAAAGGAAATAATGTTGAGTGATGTTGTGCATCTTGTTTGAAGTACAACATTTGTAGTTGATTTGTTGAGAAGTGCTGGCAACTAAAGATTCTTTACCGGATTTAAAAAGAAAGTTAACTAAAACTAAAGACTTTGAGAGAAACGGTTGAACATATAACAAATAGAACTGAAAACTTTTTTCTTTAAATCTGGAACAGAGCAGGTTGCGTTTTTATATCAGGAAGATGATATAAAAATGCCACCGTATTGAGTTTAATACAAAAGTACATCATATTGGTGTTCTTACAATGAAACCCAATCTACTTTCATTCTTTACACTTTAACCCAAACTTCTTTTGTCTAATATTTCCCCTTAAACAAAACATCTCTTGATCTTGATCTTAACTCTTCCTAATATTTCCCCTTAAACAAAACATCTTTACTATTTCTTCACATATACTGACCAAAAAAAAAAAAAAAATAACAATAATGCCATTCACAGATCACTCACACAACTGCATTTGCTGCCATCTCTAACTTCTTTTTGCTGCCATCTCTAACTTCTTTATGCAAACTGAAACTTTGAACAACAACAGTAAACTCAAGCTTGAAACTTGAACAAACCAACTCTGAAACCAAAAACTGAGTTGATCTAAAATTGAAGAAAAACAACTGCAAATTGAAACACAAAAATCAGCTCCATCGATCAACTCCAAACTGTACAAAATTCAGCTCCGTTAATCTATTGCAACCTGAACAGATTTCAACTCAATCAATCAACTGCAAACTGAACAAAAGTCAGCTCCATTAATCAACTACAAACTGCACAAAATTTCAGCCCATTAATCAACTACAAACTGCACAAAAATCTGCTTATCAATAGAAAGAACACACACTCTGCCAACAACAATCTGCTCATCAACAACTAGTAAACTTTACTACTCAACACAATTCAAACTGCACAAAAATCTGCTCATCAACAGAAAGAACACACACTCTGCCCATTAATCAACTACAAACTGCACACAAAAACAAAAAAAAAAAAAAAAAAAAAAAAAAAAAAAAAAAATCTGCTCATCAACAGAAAGAACACACACTCTGCCAACAACAATCTGCTCATCAACAACCAGTAAACTTTACTACTCACACAATTCAAACCTGCAAACACAATTCGAATCTGCAAACGAAATCAAAACTGGAGAAATTAAACTGCAGTGGCTAAAATTTCCACACAATCTACTACTATCTACTACTCAACACCATTCAACTCTCGCAAGCTGAAATTTCCACACAATTCTGCTACTATCTGCAGACTATTCTACTACTCAAAAAAATTGTGCTACTCCAATTTGTAGAGAAACAACAAAAGAAAATGTGCTGCTCTGCAACTCAAGTTTCTGCATCTGCAGTTCAAGTCTGCAAACAGCATGAACTCCAAATCTAATCTGCAAATTTGCAACCTAGTAATCTTCTCAACACATATTTTCAACAACACATCTTCTCAACACAATGATCTGCTCAATTTTCTGAATTACTCCAAAAACTTACTGTTGTTGCAATTCAGAATGAAACAGTTAGCTTGTCTTAAATAATTAACTGATTTGCTAGCAGAGCTTTGGTTAGAATGTTTGCCACTTGATACTCAGAGGCACTATTGAACACTACTTAAATTCTCTTGCTACCAGATCTCTTACATAGTGCACTCAATTTCGATGTGTTTAGTCCTAGCATGAAACACGGGGTTGAGGACAGTGCTCCAGCACTCATGTTATCACACCAGATGATAGGACAACCATTCAGAGTAATACCATTTCTTCAAACAAGCTCCTAATCCACACAAGTTCAGTAGATGCCGACTCAAGGACCGATATTCTGCTTCTGTAGAGGATAGAGAAACGACCTTCTGTTCTTTGAACTCCACTGAACCAGGTTGCCCCAACAAAAACGCATATCCACTTGTGGACCTCCTGTCATCTACATCACTTGCCCAATCGCATTAGCATAAGCTTCCAGCATAAAGTGTTCCTTTTTAGTAAATACAAGACCATGATTTAGAGTGCCCTTTGCTATCTAAGAACTCTCTTACATGCAGTCAAGATGACAGTAGGCTGTTGAAGAAACTGACTGAGTTTATTCATAGCAAAAGCAAGATCTGGTCTGGACAGCGTAAGGTACTGTAGTCCTCCAATGATACTCCGATATAATGATGGTTGATCAAATTGAATATTGTCTTCTTTACTCAGTTTAGTTCCAGCGGCCATAGGAGTTACACGGTTTGGAGTCATGCATCCCAGCTTTTACGAGAAGATCTTAAGCATACGCTTTGTGTTAAGAGTAATGCCTTGTCATTTCTCTTAACCTCAAATCCAAGGAAGTAGTTAACTGGACCAAGAACTTTCAAAGCAAACTGTGTATTCAGATCTGTCATAACTTGATCAACTAAGGAGGAATTGTTGCCTGTAACCAAGTATCGTCAACGTCACCAGTAGTAGACAACATAGGATTCTTATTGTAAAAGACAAACTCACATCAGAAATTGAATTCTGAAAACCCCAGCTAATAAGTAATTTTCAGTTTCTCAAACCAAGCTCTTGGAGCTTGTTTAAGCCCATACAATGCCTTATGTAGTTGACAACCTGCTGGGTTTGAGAAAAATTAGAAAAACATTCTGGTGGCATCATATACACTTTTTCTGTCAGCTTTCTATTAAGAAACGCATTGTTTCATCAAGTTACTGCAATTCCCATTGATTATATACAACAAGAGACAAAATAACTCTAATGGTTGCTACCTTGACTACTGGTGAAAAAGTTCAAAGTAGTCTAGGCAAGGGTTTTGTGAAACCCCTTGGCTACAAGTCGGCTTTATTTAGAAAGGGACCCATCTGAATTTAGTTTGTCTTAAAAACCCACTTGCTGCCAACTACATTCATTCCCTCAACATAAGGAACTAAATCCCAGGTCTGGTTTTTAAGAGAGCTTGATATTCAGCCTCATGGCTGCTTTCCATTCTGGAATTTTCAGAGCTTCAGCAACAGATGGGTGGTTCAGGCTGAATAACTTGAGTCGGAGAGAAAGCTGAGGGATTATTTGGAACACCAGCTTTGGACCCCTTGGACCTGGTGATCATGGGATGCTCATTGATAGTTTTTCTGTGTCAATAAGCTTGGGATCAGCTAATAGAAGGACCACCTCAAGTTGAATTCCAGGAATGACTGTGTCAAGTAGGTACAGCAGAATCATCTTTTGTATTATCTCTTAAAGAAGACTTCTCAGGTTGAATTCCAGGACTGTAATTAAAAGGTTCTGCCTGTGTAGCAGACTCTGCTGGAAGAGAAGGTAAAGGCAGTCCTTTGCAGATTCTGCAGTGAAATTTCCTGAACAAATAACTTCATTTGTGAACTGTGTAGATGATAAAGCTGAAGACTGCACTGTGGCAATGTCCCGCCTTGTATTCCCACACAATCAGTGTGAGTAGTAGATAAAGAGTGACTTTGAAAATCAGACTTGAATGGAAAGTCTTCCTCATTAAATGTACTTGTTTAACAATACACCCTGCCTGAAGAATTCATGCATCGATAACTTTATGAGCAAGGCTGTATCCAAAGAAACACACTTCGGTATGAAAAGACACCTTATGTCTGTGGTAAGGCCTGAGATATGGATACATCCACAGCCAAATACTTTAAGATCAGTGTAACACGGTTTTTGCTTAAAAAAAGTTTCAAATGGAGAGATAAACTCAATAGCAGCTGAAGGAATCCTATTTAGCAAGTATACACCAGTGCTAAAGGTTGACCACCAGAATTTCAGTGGCATAGCCGCATGAGCTAGGAGAGATAACCCAAATTCAGTGATGGCTCCATGTTTTCTCTCTACTCTACCATTTTGCTGATGAAGGTATGGACAAGGATGCCTAAACATAACTCCATGTTTCTCCAAATAACTAGACAAGGGTCTAAACTCCCCTCCCCAATCTGTTTGTAAACATTTCAGTTTTGTATCCAACTGATTTTCAACAAAGCAATGGAATTGAGTGAATACACCAATGACTTCATATTTAAGCTTTAATGGATAGATCCAGGTATACCTACTAAAATCATCCACAAAGATCACATAATACTGATACCCTTCAGTAGATATAATAGGTGCAGGACCCCATAGATCTGAGTAGACTAATTCTAAAGGTTTTTGTGCTCTTGAAGTGGAAACAGGGAACTTACACTGCTGTAGTTTACCAAATTGACATGCTTCACAAAAAAAGCTTTTATTTCCAACAATAGTATTCTTTACATGTAACTTTTCAAGTACATTATTCAAGACTTTAGTATTAGGGTGACCTAACCTAGCATGCCATAGAACAATATCACTAGATGGCTTAACAAACAGAGAACTATCTGTAGAAGTACATTCAAGAGCATACTCTCCATCATTATCAGAATGTTCTCCTTTATTAGATGTAGATGAATTAACATCATGAATTTCAGGAGTTGAAGTGAAGCTGGAAGCATGAAGTACTGACTTTATTTGAGAATCAGCAGAACAGAAATCAGTTGTTGGCAAGGTAAGCTGATAGAGGCCATCCTTTACTGTCCCTTGAAGGACTGTAGCCTTGCTATATTTATCCTTTATTAAGCAACAGTCAGCATGAAACTCAACTATCACATGGTTATCTTTAGTGATTTGAGATATGCTTAACAAGTTTTTAGCAATCTTTGGAATACAGAGAATATTCTGAAGTTTTAGAATTCTATTCGAATCAGTGGAAGGTAACAGTAGCATACCTGTATGAGTGATAGGGATGGACTGTCCATTGCCAACTTGCACCTGAGATGTTCCTTGATAATTGGACTTCACAACCATGTTGGTAGCATCTGTAGTCATATGATTGGATGCACCAGAGTCCATATACTAGGACTGGTCTGTAAGTGTTTGTGGTGTAGCAACTTTTTGTGGGGTGATAGTTGATGATGTAGGCACAGAGTTGGCAGGTGACAAGGCTGAGTTATTAGTGTAAGGTAAACTAGTATTCTGGACTGGTAAGTAATGTTCAGGTAAGTGTGACTGAGAGTTTGGATTAATGTAATTTGGTGAGGAGTTGTTGACCAGACCAGTACCTGAGAAATCATGAAATGCTGCATATGGTTGAGAATTGTTAGACCGATCGTCACGGTCTAAAAATTAAACCTAATTACCGTAGTAGCGGTAAGCAGGATCGAATCCACAGGGAGCAAGACTAACAACCTAATGTATTTTAAGTAGCGGAAATGAAATTGGNGATAGGACAACCATTCAGAGTAATACCAATTTCTTCAAACAAGCTCCTAATCCACACAAGTTCAGTAGATGCCTGACTCAAGGACCGATATTCTGCTTCTGTAGAGGATAGAGAAACGACCTTCTGTTTCTTTGAACTCCACTGAACCAGGTTGCCCCCAACAAAAACAGCATATCCACTTGTGGACCTCCTGTCATCTACATCACTTGCCCAATCTGCATTAGCATAAGCTTCCAGCATAAAGTGTTCCTTTTTAGTAAATACAAGACCATGATTTAGAGTGCCCTTTGCATATCTAAGAACTCTCTTACATGCAGTCCAATGATTGACAGTAGGCTGTTGAAGAAACTGACTGAGTTTATTCATAGCAAAAGCAAGATCTGGTCTGGACAGCGTAAGGTACTGTAGTCCTCCAATGATACTCCGATATAATGATGGTTGATCAAATTGAATATTGTCTTCTTTACTCAGTTTAGTTCCAGCGGCCATAGGAGTTACACACGGTTTGGAGTCATGCATCCCAGCTTTTACGAGAAGATCTTAAGCATACTTGCTTTGTGTTAAGAGTAATGCCTTGTCATTTCTCTTAACCTCAAATCCAAGGAAGTAGTTAACTGGACCAAGAACTTTCAAAGCAAACTGTGTATTCAGATCTGTCATAACTTGATCAACTAAGGAGGAATTGTTGCCTGTAACCAAGATATCATCAACGTACACCAGTAGATAGACAACATAGGATTCCTTTTTGTAAAAGAACAAACTCACATCAGAAATTGAATTCTGAAAACCCCAGCTTAATAAGTAATTTTTCAGTTTCTCAAACCAAGCTCTTGGAGCTTGTTTAAGCCCATACAATGCCTTATGTAGTTGACATACCTGCTTGGTTTGAGAAAAATTAGAAAAACATTCTGGTGGCATCATATACACTTTTTCTGTCAGCTTTCTATTAAGAAACGCATTGTTTACATCAAGTTACTGCACTTCCCATTGATTATATACAACAAGAGACAAAATAACTCTAATGGTTGCTACCTTGACTACTGGTGAAAAAGTTTCAAAGTAGTCTAGGCCAAGGGTTTGTTGAAACCCCTTGGCTACAAGTCGAGCTTTGTATTTAGAAAGGGACCCATCTGAATTTAGTTTAGTCTTAAAAACCCACTTGCTGCCAACTACATTCATTCCCTCAACATAAGGAACTAAATCCCAGGTCTGGTTTTTTAAGAGAGCTTGATATTCAGCCTCCATGGCTGCTTTCCATTCTGGAATTTTCAGAGCTTCAGCAACAGATGGTGGTTCAGGCTGAATAACTTGAGTCGAGAGAAAAGCCTGAGGGATAGTATTTGGAACACCAGCTTTGGACCCCTTGGACCTGGTGATCATGGGATGCTCATTGATAGTTTTTCTTGTGTCAATAAGCTTGGGATCAGCTAATAGAAGGACCACCTCAAGTTGAATTCCAGGATCTGACTGTGTCAAAGTAGGTACAGCAGAATCATCTTTTGTATCATCTCTTAAAGAAGACTTCTCAGGTTGAATTCCAGGACTGTAATTAAAAGGTTCTGCCTGTGTAGCAGACTCTGCTGGAAGAGAAGGTAAAGAGCAGTCCTTTGCAGATTCTGCAGTGAAATTTCCTGAACAAATAACTTCATTTGTGAACTGTGTAGATGATAAAGCTGAAGACTTGCACTGTGGCAATGTCCCTGCCTTTGTATTCACACACACATCAGGTGGAGTAGTAGATAAAGAGTGACTTTGAAAATCAGACTTGAATGGAAAGTCTTCCTCATTAAATCGTACTTGTTTAACAATATACACCCTGCCTGAAGAATTCATGCATCGATAACCTTTATGAGCAAGGCTGTATCCCAAGAAAACACACTTTTCGGTATGAAAAGACACCTTATGTCTGTGGTAAGGCCTGAGATATGGATAACATCCACAGCCAAATACTTTAAGATCAGTGTAACACGGTTTTTGCTTAAAAAAAGTTTCAAATGGAGAGATAAACTCAATAGCAGCTGAAGGAATCCTATTTAGCAAGTATACACCAGTGCTAAAGGTTGACCACCAGAATTTCAGTGGCATAGCCGCATGAGCTAGGAGAGATAACCCAAATTCAGTGATGGCTCCATGTTTTCTCTCTACTCTACCATTTTGCTGATGAAGGTATGGACAAGGATGCCTAAACATAACTCCATGTTTCTCCAAATAACTAGACAAGGGTCTAAACTCCCCTCCCCAATCTGTTTGTAAACATTTCAGTTTTGTATCCAACTGATTTTCAACAAAGCAATGGAATTGAGTGAATACACCAATGACTTCATATTTAAGCTTTAATGGATAGATCCAGGTATACCTACTAAAATCATCCACAAAGATCACATAATACTGATACCCTTCAGTAGATATAATAGGTGCAGGACCCCATAGATCTGAGTAGACTAATTCTAAAGGTTTTTGTGCTCTTGAAGTGGAAACAGGTAACTTACACTGCTTTAGTTTACCAAATTGACATGCTTCACAAAAAAAGCTTTTATTTCCAACAATAGTATTCTTTACATGTAACTTTTCAAGTACATTATTCAAGACTTTAGTATTAGGGTGACCTAACCTAGCATGCCATAGAACAATATCACTAGATGGCTTAACAAACAGAGAACTATCTGTAGAAGTACATTCAAGAGCATACTCTCCATCATTATCAGAATGTTCTCCTTTATTAGATGTAGATGAATTAACATCATGAATTTCAGGAGTTGAAGTGAAGCTGGAAGCATGAAGTACTGACTTTATTTGAGAATCAGCAGAACAGAAATCAGTTGTTGGCAAGGTAAGCTGATATAGGCCATCCTTTACTGTTCCTTGAAGGATTGTAGCCTTGCTATATTTATCCTTTATTAAGCAACAGTCAGCATGAAACTCAACTATCACATGGTTATCTTTAGTGATTTGAGATATGCTTAACAAGTTTTTAGCAATCTTTGGAATACAGAGAATATTCTGAAGTTTTAGAATTCTATTCGAATCAGTGGAAGGTAACAGTAGCATACCTGTATGAGTGATAGGGATGGACTGTCCATTGCCAACTTGCACCTGAGATGTTCCTTGATAATTGGACTTCACAACCATGTTGGTAGCATCTGTAGTCATATGATTGGATGCACCAGAGTCCATATACTAGGACTGGTCTGTAAGTGTTTGTGGTGTAGCAACTTTTTGTGGGGTGATAGTTGATGATGTAGGCACAGAGTTGGCAGGTGACAAGGCTGAGTTATTAGTGTAAGGTAAACTAGTATCCTGGAATGGTAAGTAATTTCAGGGTAAGTGTGATGAGAGTTGGATTAATGTAATTTGGTGAGGAGTGATTTGACGTCGACCGAGCCAGCTACCTGGAAAAATCATTGAAATGCTGCATATGGAGAATGAACGATCTTCACGTCTAAAATTAAACCTAATTCTCACGATAGTAGCGGTAAGCAGGATCGAATCCACAGGGAGCAAGACTAACAACCTAATGTATTTTAAGTAGCGGAAATGAATTGGCAATGGATAATGAAACTAATAAACTAGATGCAAATAATGAAATAGTGAATTAAAACAAATAAAACTTTATAAAAAATGTTGCCGTTACGGTTTTGGTTCAACACGAGACGACCTCACCAATTCTCCTCCCCCCTTACGATCCCCTAAACTACAAGCAAGGTAAATCAATGAAATGGTTCCCGACACTTAGGTATAATCTATCCTGTCTCACCCGATCACTCAATCTGATTGGTTAAAGACTATCATTGAATGTTGATAAACGCTACAAGGTAATACCCCTAGTTGGTACGCAATTAACAAATACAATTTGTCAACACGTAATATCCAATCAACCAACTTCACAATAAACAGCAAAAATAGTAGAAATAAATTAAATCCGAACACAACAGTTACAATCGATGCGAAGTAATGAAAAGCAAATTCATCATTTAAATTCCAAACCAACGTTTATCATTCAGCAAGTTCTATGAAAACATTAAATCATAATGGACAACAATATTCATCACAAGTTATGCTCAAATCATTTAAAGTATGAAATACATCATGAAACGAAAACAAATATAATCCGAAGAACAATACTACCAAAGTCCTATAATCGGGCTCATCCAACTAGTCGAGAGCTGATGAGGAGAGTCATGGAGTCAATCCGATCTCGCCTATGCCGTAATAGACAACCGGGAGCTTAGCCGCTCATGGTGGTGATGATGGAGGCCGAAACGGTGGAAACGGAGCTGACCATGGCGGAGAGGAGGTAACCGACAGCGTATGCGAAGAATGTGTGAAAACGACCAACGGACAGCCCGAATACAGAACAGCCGCGGTTCGTCGGAAAACATTAATTTTCGGTGGGTCTCCGAAAAAACGGTGGCGGAAATGGGATCCAAAGGTACCGATGGAAAGCTCTGGTGATGGGGAGTTCAGATAGGTCCTGGGAGGTGAGAAGTCGCCGGAATGAGCAGGATCTGGCCTGGAAGATGAGAGAGTCGCGGTGGGCTAAATCACGGATTCCGGGTTTTCGCGGTGGCTGAAGCTAGGGAAGTGTAGATCCAGCTGTGGGGAAGGTGGATCGACCCCTGGGGAGCCGAATCGTCATCGAAAAATGGCCAAAAATGGCTGGGAAGACGAAACGACGCGGTGGAGGGAAGATGAAACGGCGGGCAGCTTCGTGATTCGCGGTGGTGGTTCAGGACGATGGGATGACGGTGATATGGTCGAGGAAGCCGAAGAGTCATCAAATGGAGACGAAGGGTCGCCGAAAACGTTATGGATGGCAGCCTCTGTTCAAGCGATTGCACTTTTCTTATAGAACATATTATAAATATCAGTTTGGTCCCTGCACAATTGAAAAGTGACAAATTAGCCCTTTAAACATGACATTTACCCTAAACAGCATAAATGAGACAAAATCACCCTTAATCATAAAATCAACCCAATATCAACTCATATATTTTCCAAAATCATTCCAAAACACGTTAAATTCATAAGAAAAATATAGGAAGCGATTTTCGTGATAAATTCATAAATTCTTTAATGTCTCAATATACTTCAATAATCACAAATGGGGTATTTTTATCACCAAAATAGAGTCACTTATGACTCTAACACACTCCCAACTTACTCTTTGCTTGTCCTCGAGTAAAGTTAAAGGAACTCTTTCAACATTCTCACAAAATCATACACACACCATTCATCAACGACCAAGACATTCATCAAAGGTAAAGTGAAGAATTTGAACATAACAAGTAAATAACACAATCCTAAATAAAGAACTAAAGTTTCTATCAGATTTGCCTATCCCATTCAAGCTTCTCAAACACACATTTCAATTCAATACACAATGTTAAAATGTCATGCAAAACTCCCCCCATTATGTACACGCAACATAATGCTCATTTTCCACACAAGATTTTGACATATAATTTCTTTTTCATTCATCAACCCTTTTT